TCGACGAATACTGCACCTGTACGCGAATCAGGGGTGGGTCTTGTGAGGGCTGCGCGTAGATGCAATAGTTGATCTAACGTCGAGTGACCAGGTCTGAATCCAGATTGTTGTGGGGTCAGCTTGGTTTCAATGACATCTCTAATTCGGGCTGCAATGATCCGTTCCATTCATTTGGAGAGACAACTAGTGAGAGTAACTGCTCTGAACGAATCTAAATCGGTGGCCTTCTTTCCTGGTTTAAGAAGTGGTACAATAATGCCTACTTTCCAAGAGACTGGGACTATACCAGTACGGAGACTCTCGTTGAAGAGGGCAAGAGTCTCTGCTTTGGCACGGGGTCCCAAGTGTTGGAGTGCCTCGCCGTAGATACCATCTGGACCTGCGGCCCTCCCTTTAGGAAGGAGACGCTGTGCCCGTTCCTATTCTGCTGCTGTAATGGGTATGAATTCTGTATTGGTGATGGGAATGGGTGGTGGAGGGTAGGAATGTGGGTGCTGTTTAGCTCTTTGTGAATATAAACGGATAAAGTGCTTGGCTTTCTGATTTTCTGTGAGTACCGTATTATTAATCTTTATCGCCGGGGAACTGAGGGGGCGTGGGTCGTAGATCCTCTTCAGAATGTTCCAACAGCAGCCGTCTGCCACGGCCATGTTATTACAGAGGGTTTTCCATCTCTTATGGGATGCTTGTCTTGGCATATCCCTTCTGCGAGCTACTAATCTGTCTCTAGAGACAGAGGGTTTACAATTGTGAATCTTCTCTTCGATTTCATTTTATTCTGGAGTCCAAAAAGGAGTAGTATCTCAACCCCCGCGTGGAACCGCCGCAGCTGTTGCGATACGGATGGCGGAGGTCAGTAGTCGTTCTCTCTTGTGAACGCCCGTTTCTCTTTAAGAAGTTTGTTGCACTGTGCGTTTGTCATTTGTCTAAAGCGAGGCCATTTCGCTTTCTTCCATGCATAAATGGGGGCACGAGGGCGAGGGAACCGCAGTGGTTCATCACCGCCCCCCATCACTACTTGGAAGAGGGTGATGTAATGATCGCTGTCCGGGGAGAAGGATGCCGTCCAGGACTCTAGAAGGCATTCTCGGGATATTGTCATATCCGGCGCGGACGGACCATGGCGTGTGGTGTGGCGAGTGCAATCTCCAGTGTTATGAATAACGTAACCATTATCTAGGCGCCATTGTACTAGCACATCGCCACGGGTATCTGGGGATAGCGCGATCCCATGCCATTGCATGCGCATTAGCATCTGCACCAATGGGGTGAGGTCCGCTTGTCGTCAAAAGCGTGTCTAGTTGCGAAGTTGTGTATGATCTCCCCAGAAGGGAAGAATATGCTGACATCACTGTGAGCGCCAGACCTTCTGACATGTGGATCGTTGCATGAGCATGCTCAATGCTTGCAACTACGGTGAGTCCTACTTCTACTGGCAGATCTTCACGCACAAGAATCGAAACACCGCCTCCTTTAGAGGGGCGGGACACTCCATGATGTTGGTAACCAGCGATTGTGA